ATGTTTGATGTTGCTGATCATGGGCGGCTCCTACGTCACCTTGAGGCCTAAGATGAGATSAGCGGTGAAATCCTGGCCTAGGATTCCCGCTATTGGTGCAAGGCCAGGATTTCACTGCAACCCCCAATTTTTAGCCCGAGTTCATCTACCCCAAGCCACTGCTCTTGCTGAGCTGAGCCCAAGGGGCTGCAGGTCCCACTCCCCACGGCGCTGCTCCCTCGCTCAGCCCTCTCGGGCAGGGTGGTTGTGTCTCATCACTGTTTTTCTTAAATGCTCCCAGTGTSTTTCCTAGCGGCACAGGGCAGAAGCTGTCTGCCCTCCGGGAACTGCTCAGGCTAACGGATGTCAGCGTTTTCACAAGCTCAGGTGGATTTGGCGGATCTGGCTGTATTTGTTCAGGGATGTCTAGAAGTCCTAGTGAGCTGGAAACGTATTCAGAAGCTCTGGCTGGGCTGCCTTTTGTGCAGAAACATATACCTGCATACATGTGMGTATGTAGTGTGTACATATACATGCATGCAGAGGAATTTCTGCAGCTTTCTTGCAGCACTCAGATGGCACAACTGGTCCACACATATCTGCACATGCCCAGAACTTCACAGCTCCTGCATGTGGGTTGCACCATGCCCRGTATTAACGTGCATGAGCTTTGGAGCTGCGCTCTGCTGGGGTCACTGCCGAGGACTCTGAGTCTSTGGGATTATCTGAACAGCCACCAGGAGTTCTCAATAATATTCAGCTCAGAAAGTGGGAGCGTGTTTGTGTTGTCCTGCCTTTTTTCCTTTTTTTCCTTGTAGATTTCAAGGAAATTTTTCTTTTATAGCCTGTGACTGTTAGGCCAAGCAGCTGCTGTAAATCAGCGTAACTTCCTTGCTCCCCTGCACATGAGGTGCTTTGCACGGGCTGCAGATGTGAGCTCTCCTGATCTTGCTACTGAAATTCTGAGGTCTTTTGCCTGGCCTTGGCCTCTACCTCATAAGGAAGTATCTTCAACAAAGCATTTTCGGAGACAGGTACAACCATAATGACTTTAATTTTTAATAAATAGAGTTTCCATAAACTTAGGCATAGACGTCTTCATCGCAGCTGCAGCCCACCTTTTTTTTTCCCATTATCTTGCCCCACATTCTTGCAGACTTAGATCACAGGACAGAAACACATTTTGCAATAAAGGAGACCTTTAATCCTGCCTGCTGTTCTCTGTGGCTGCGGTCACAGCTCGGGTTGTTCTGCTTGGACCAGGAGGCTCGTGGCCCTGCAGTGGTGGCCATGGGCTCTCCTGATGCACTCACCCAAACCCATGTCCCCCGGTGTTCAGCAGTATATTTCATGTGCTGTGCATAGCACAGTCCATCGCCACTCGGATACACCTGCATACAACATGCCAGAGGGACCCAATTCTGTGGGCATCTTGCAGAGCCTTTCCCTGCAGTCATGTGGGTGCAAAACCCACATRCAAGAACACGGCAGAAGTGAAAAAAAACTCACTTTCATGATGGTTTCTCTTACCTCTCCCGAAGTGCCCTCCTCTCTCATAAGAAAGCACTTTCTGAAATAACTATGTTGTATTTATTTATTTAATGTGCTGTTAAATGACCTTCTGGAAAAAATATTCCAGCTGCAAGGCTTTAAAATGGATGGGCAGACATAACTTAGAGAGCATGTTCCTTAAAATCAGGATGAAACATCTGAGTAGTTACTGTTCAGATTGATRTAATTTTAGTTATAATTACGGGTAACGAGAACACATTTAGAGTCTATAATATTGTAATTCATGGTGAGAGGAGTCCTCAATGAAACAAAATATACCCAGACTTCCTTGTTCTCCGCACCTAGGTATTGTGAATGTGAGCATGATTCTTTAAGAAACAGATTTTCTGCTGCTGTAAAAATCGAGCAAAAGTAGGTCAGAAACGACATCTCRAGATAACGCGTTTGGTAACCACAAAGAGACTGGCTGCATCTTTCTCTTTGGCCTTCCAGGAGCCTGTGATGCAGCAGGGCGGGCGCCGCGCGGCCGGATTTGAACCCTGGGCTCCCATGGACGGGTCAGAGTTGCCCATGGCCACTGCTAGGATCCCACCAGCCTGACAGGACGCGATAAAGTGACTCAGAGGGGCCTGAGTGCCCGTTTCGAGGGTGTCACAGCTGTGTTTCACAGGGTGGTTTCACTGACGAGGGGAAGATGTGCCCGGCATGAGGAGTGGGAAGGTGCTGCTGGAAGGAGGCCCGAGTCCTGGCACATYAACGTGAAAGTAGATACCTCTGTTGAGGGCTTGATAATTAATGTTAAATAAAAGCGGAGTTTCCATATCTGCATCTGATAATCTGCATGGGCTGCACAAGACCAGCATATTGAACATCCTCAACGGCATTTTTTTAATACCGTAATTAAAATGATAGAGCTTTCTTTATGGTGCAAGTTGAACTTCTTTGCAATAAATTKGGCCCATCAAGTGCTATTTGAACACCAAGCCACAATGCCCCCAACTGTGGGTGACAAACTCTCCACATACTCCCCAAATCTCTTAGAGCCRTGATAATGAAATACATAAGCTATGACCCTTATTGATCCGGCCTTGCACTAATTAATTTCCCAAYGTCCTGTCCCAGCCTGCAGTGACATCGCTGCAGCACCAAGCATGGAGTTGGGCAAAAGTCCTCAGGGGGAGACATTCAACCCATTGCAATCGATGCCAAGTCCCCATTGATCTTAGTCACGCATGGATGTCGCCATTAGTCAAGTGTTTGGAAGCTGGGGCTCAAGTCGTCGCGAGTGGCTCCTCAGACCCAACCACTCGATGCTGTGGTACAGCCAGGCCTCCCCTCAGCTCCAGGGCCTCTAGCTCCAGCTTGTCCTTTCTTTGTCCTTTCTCCAGCAGCAGCCAAACCAGTTTAAGAGGTTTCCACCCTTCCCTGTATCTGGCTGTGGCCAGGGCTCGACATGATAGGAAGGGGCACGAACTTCTGCAGCCGGCGCTGTTGCCAGCAGAGCTTAACGTGGATCCAGGCCCTCACTAATCTCCCTTTGAAGGACTTTGCCAAGGAAGTCTAAGAGAGTCCTTAATGTTTCTCTGCGTGCATTTCCCTTGTGACGTAGGAGCAGCCAGGAATATTACTAAGCTGATTTTACAGCTGGTCACAGTGTAATACAAGAGCCCAAGGATCTTCCTTGCAGCGAAGAGAAAGGGAAAGGAATCGGGAGTTTGGCTTTGCAGTTTTCCAACCCAAGCCCTAGAGAAGTATTTCCCGCTGGCAGGGAACCAGTTGCTTCACTTCAAATCATGATTCCTTCCCAGAATTTGCGCTTTCAGTCACACTACACGCTGCTTAATTGTCCAAACAACGATCTGGAGGTAGTAGTGAGTTAATGGAGAGCTCTTGCCGAAGCTGCTCCACCTCATGCCGCCTGYGCGGGACCTGCCTGATTTTCAGCACTCATGAGCTGCACCTCAGACCCACTAGAGATCTTGATACCCCAAGGAACGACCCGAGTAGCGTGTGCCACAGGTGGGTTTCCATCTTGGTTAGTGCTACAAAACCTACCTAAAAACGTAAGACTCAAATTTCCTGTGACAGCTCTGCAGTTGGTCCTCGGCCCATCTGCAGAAGGCGGTTCTGTAACTGAGAGACTCACTGCAGGATCTCACCCAGCTGGTTTATATTTTCAGGCCCAACTTTGCAGTGATAAGACTTCAGGATTTCTTTAAAACTTAAGCAAGGCATAAAYTGACATAGCTTTGTCCTTTTGTAGGGAAAAACAATAGCTTTGCAAAGTGTGAATTGCTCTGGAGCATTACCTCTGGAACCTAAAGACAACATTGTAATGTGTCAACATGGATTGTTTTTAATATAGTTTAAGTGGAAATAATGACCTAAAGTATTCACCACAATTTCAAACCGACTTCCTTGCATTCTCGAGTGCCAAAAATCTCTCCATTTACCTGCCAAAAGCTCTTCTTTCCATCCAGCAATTTCTCCATAGCAGGTCCAGGTTGCCAATGCAAAACTCAGCATCACTGTGAAAACCAGAAAGGTGAAGATCAAACAAACCAAACAGCAAAYTAAATAACGTGGAGTCAGTTAACCTTTTTGTTTTCCTATGGAATTTTATGCAAAAGTTTATTTTACTTTAATTTACTACTGAATTTCCCATTTATTTAGCCAGCATACAGGGAGCAACACAAGATCTGTGTTGTGTTTGCTGAAGTATACGTGGCCTTGAACACACAGGATATTTCTCAGTTACGTATTTCTTTTGCTGGCTGCTATACTTTTTTTTTTTTTTTTTTTTTTTTTCTGTCTGCAGATTGACTTTCACTTTATTTTACTCCCTACTTCATTTCTCACCTTAATTTTCCACTTTTTTTTTCCCCTTCTGCTTTTCTCAGGCTCCTTCTCCCAGGTTATGAGTGAAGCAGCACTAAACTTTGAGCTGAACTTTTAAACTCACCTGTTGTAATTAAGTAAAACGAGCACCCTCCGCCTTTCTGCACAAGCAACTTAACAGCTCTGGCCACTTAGCACTTCCCAGAGCCGCAGAAAGGCTGCACAGGAGGATGGAGGCTTTTAATGCAAGGGAGGGGAGGTGCTGCMGCAGGCAGTGATAGACGTTGATTTAAACACAACGTGGACACCTGGGTATCCAGCTCAGTGTGAGGCTCCCTCATGGTTGCAGGATTAGGTGCCTTGTATTGAATGGGTTCAGCCAACAGGAGGGAAAAAAAGAGGTGCAAAGCAATGTACTCAGTGCAGCAGGTTCCAGCCCACCTAGAATTTACCCGTGTATCCCATAGCACCTACAGACTTAGGGATTTTTTTCTCTTATTCTTGCATCTTTATCTTTTTGTCACCTAAGGGCAAGCATCGTGAAGCCAAGCTGGCTCTTTAGTAGAAATTACTACAGAGAAAAAACACGTGTTCAGAAAAAAACCTGCAAGCATGATCAACAAATAATAATTATTCTTTTTCTTATTGTGTTTCTCCTGTTGTGCTTGCAGGACACATGCCTTAGTTCCAGCTCTCCAGCCCAGGCTTCCCGCACTCAGCCCGTCTCTCCGTGTCACTCCGATCCTGACATTGAACTCGCCACAACCCGTACCGAGAAGACTGCCAAAAAAACTCCAGCTATTCTTCTTCATCCTCACTAACAATTTGGTAATGAAGTATTGATTTCCACTCCCCTGCTTATGGACGATATTAGATTTTCATTGATAAACTGCGCTGGGGCTGTCTGGTCTCCACTGTCCCTTTTTGCTGTCACTAAAACAAAGTGCCACTGAAGTAAGATAATGACTGAGAACATTGATGTACTTATTTCGTCAATTTGTAACACTTGACAGGAAAAAAAAAAATCTTCATAGTTTAATGTCCAAGCGTGCTACACAAGATGCAGTCGTGTTGGAAGCTTTACTTTTCATGGTAATGTCCATTTCCTATTTACAACCCCTCTGGGATAGTTTGTCTAAAGGAAATGTTTCTATTCAGTGCAGCTATTACTGCTGCACCTGGGTTGCCCAATCCAGTCATTGCACTAGGGATCAATACATCACCATAAGTACAAGAATTATTAAGTTAAAACAGATTCTGAGCCAAAAAACCTCTGAACAATGTTAATCTTCTGTGCAAGTTGTTCAAATAGTTATGCTTAACCATGTTGCTGCCAAAGATTTGTTTAAAAGGGATTATTTTCAGTTTGTTTTATTCCTCAGATATATATATATATATTTAAATCTCCATTACGGTTTATGAGGAGACGTATGCGATGGAGCGGTTTTGAAACAAAAGCACTATTGTTAGATTATTGAACATTATATAAATATAGGTATATCTATATATAAATATCGCTATATAAATATCTATATATAGATATAAAAGAGTACAAGTAGAGTTCCTTTCTCCATTACGTGAGTATAAATCTGAATATCTCTGTTGTAGTCCAGGGAGTTACTTTGGATTGATGCCACTGCAAATGAGATCAGAACCTGGCCTTCCTGCTATCTCCCTGGCCTATCTGCTGCCGTTGGTATTTGCAGGTTTTAAAGCACAGCTGCCTTTTAAAATCAACAGAGACCTGGTGAGAAAGGGGCTAAAACGGTGGCAATTGGAAATTTGTTCTTGTAACTTTTTTCATTAAAACTTCGAGGTCCCAATTTTAATTTGTGGAATATTCACGTTAATAATGAGATCTAATTAAGACATCCATTAAAAGCCCGTTAAAGTTAATTTAACGTAAAAATTCCAATAGAACTGTATTAGATTTTCTCCATTAAATTAACGTTATGGATTTTTAACGGATGTCTTAATTATACATTATTATTAACGGGAATACAGTATTACACAGATTAAAATCAGGTCCCTCGGAAAATCTTTCCGGGTATTTTGGTGTTGCAAACCTCCCGTTACCTAGTGCACTGCTTGGAAAACCAGGCGCAGCCGCTTTACTCAGCTGAGCATTTCCTTGCAACTCAAGCAACCTACAGTAGACAAATCCGTCTCGGCATTTAACAAATGAACTTTCCTTATCCTCCAAGGAAAAATAAGTCTGGATCAAGTTGTAAACCGCTGCTCCGTTACAGATGAAGTATTCAAAGTATGCTAGGCAGAAACTGGAGAAGAGGATCTTTCTCAAACGTGAGAGGGCTTTGGGGTGTGCTTTCCTTTTAGATGTTCAAGGAGAAAATTGAAGTGCTGCATTTGCAAAATCAGACTAAATATGCTTATTGTGTTCCCGGCCGCGGGTACAGATGGGCCTGTTCTGGTGCTGTTTGGGAAATTTTGACATGATCCCTAAACTCAACGTGGAGGAGAAAAAAAAGGCCCTTCTTATTTACCTCCTAGGGAAAGTGTTGCCCTTATGCCACATATAATAGCAAATTGCTTTTTTTATGGCATGCATAACCTAGATGGGAAAAAATATGGCGCTTGAGGGAAGGAGGGAAAAAGTAAATGAAGTTCCAGGAATGTCATTCTGAAGTAATGAGGCATGGACAGAAAATATACCCCTCACATCATCGGATTGAGATGGCAGTCGAAATAGCTTCATTGAAGTGTCAGCACTCATCCATCAATCAATCATCCACAAGGAAAAATAGCGACAGTACAACGGGGCGGCTTTTATGGGATTTACTCATGGGCATAGGGAATAGCAGCTCAAATGTAGTTCTGACATGAAAAGCAAGGTGCTGATATTATTTTTTATGATGGGAGGATCATAAAGTGAATTGAGAACAGTGAGGTCTGTCTTTGCTTAACCTATTCAACTGGAAACGAACGGAGCTCAACTGGAAATGAGCAGAGCCTTCGGATGGGTTAAGATTGAAGCCTGCGTCGTGCTGAGCACTGGCCATTGACAACAAAATTCTATTAAAGCAAAATCAATGCATTAGCATCGAGGCTCTCCGAAGCTGTTAAATTGCCCAGCGCAGCGCGGAGTTATTAGGGGCCCTTACGTAAGGCGAGGGCCTGCCGAGCGCCACCGCTTCCACCTGGGAGAAACTCCGGCTGCTTTCCCCCCTCCCCTTTCCCCACGCTTCTGCATCCTCTAGGAAAACGTGCTGCTTATTCCRGCATCCGAGAGGCCAAATTCCCAGCGCGGCCGCCAGGACCGGGGGCAGAGCCGCCGCTGCTCATCCTGGCGCGGGGCTGCAGGTCCCACGGCGGCTCCGGCCTCCCCTGGCATCTCCCACCCACCGGAGACGGACCATGATTTATCCCAGAAAGCAGCTCCTGCGCGGGAGCAGCTCCCTCATTCCGGATCTGGCCACAAACCTTTATTACGCAGTGCTAAACCTTGATTATTTTGCCTGCATCGCTATCCTCTGGGAACATTTTAGATACACATTTGAATTAAGTGATTTTTTTTTTATTTTTTTTACAATACAATATAAAAAAGGGAAATGTGCGCCTCTCCTCTCTCTTTCTGTGTATGAAACTGGATGAGTTGATAGTTTATCTGTCATATAAATCAGGTAACACAGAAAATCATTGCATCTTTTCTCTGTCGTATCTACTCAATATCTATCGTACTGACTTTTATTCTTATTGGAGATCATCAAAACATTAATTAAAAGCCTGGTGATCAAACAGCCGAATATTTATGATTCACATCCTTGCTTATTAACAAGTGGCATATTGATACACCACATATCCAAGCTGTTTATGCTCTTGCGCTGCAATAAAGCAGTAAGAATTGTTACCCTCGCACACTGCTTTGAGAGATTTATTCAGAAACCGTAGCTCCCTTCCTGCCACCATACATGTCAAAATAAGCCATATCACCTTTAAAAAAAAAAAACAAGAAAAGAAAAAAGAAAGATTTATTTTAAGAGGGAGAGACATAATTAGCATCTCTTTGGTGCCTAATATATAAGCATTGCAGTAGATTAGTCTCAGGTGTTTTTTCCAGACCCTTATTATTTAAGCTGAGAGGGAGAAGGACACTTAACTTTAAAAATGGCTGTCATTAGTACAATAATAATTGTTGGTTTAAAAAAAAAAAAAAAAAAAACCAACGAACTTGGAGAATCAGCTAACAAACCTACCCAGTAATTACTTGTCAATGTGGCTTCATCGTGATTTTTATTACCTACTTGTAAAAGTATTTACAAGACTGACCTCCCTAGCTTTTTTCAGAGATCATGGAGGAGATGAGAAGTCATTTTAAAAATCAATAATTATATATTAACATGATAGGGGTTGAGGCCTTCCAAGCGATTTTTACAAGCTATTGTGTCAACTCTGGTCCATTTATGTAGCAGAGATTGTTTCCCTGATTTCCAATCTCTTTTTTTTTCCCTTTCCCTGATCATATGCTGATAAAGTGCTGTGTCCCGCGGCCGCTTCACCCCCTGTGCAGGTGCTTGGCTGGAGGGGGAGGTCTTGCTTGCAAAGGGGCTGCTGTCAGGGAAAGGGCAAAATTAGCCGGCTTTGGGCTGGGGTGAGAGCTCCAGGAAGGGATTTCCTTTATAAGGGCTCGTTCTTGGCTGTGTTTTAGGCTCGCTCCCACCTGTGGAGGAGGCACAAGGGGCACAAGGCTGTGAAACACTTTTTTGGCACCTGCTGCCCCCAACCCCGGGTGCGGAGCTGCTTCCGCTCCGTGGCTCTGCCACCGAGGGCTTTGGCCTTTGCGAACAAATATACGATGCCATTTATATTTAAAATTCTCCCTATAAAGACTGTATCGATCACAGATTCCGGATCAATACATTGCAATTACAGCAGGCTTTGCGGGCCATCTGTCCCCAAGCAAGAGCACTGCTGTAACCACCACGCTATATTTTGAAGCAGCGCCGCGGGGATGTGCCCGGCCCTGGTGTGCTCAGGGAGCCACGTGGGGGTTCAAATCCCCTGTATTGGCCCCCAAAGTGACTGCAGAGCCGCCTCGCTCTGGGTTTTGCAGTCCCAGGGGGAGGGCGCTGACACCGCTGGCCTCAATTCCCAGCTCTCCATCAGTTCCCAGGACTGCTGCCTTGCTGGAGCGTCGCTGCCTTCCGCCGAGAAAGACCGGCCGCCACACAAGTTAATTCGGGGAGACCCATATATCTTATCAGAGGTGCTGAGAAGCTCGTAAGGATGGGTGTCAATCCTAAACTGGGTCCTTCTCATGCAGCAGAGGCTAGATCCCAAAGGAAAGTGTAATTTTGGAGTTGGTAACTGAAGGACGAGATGATGTGCATCCAAAGGCAGGTTTGGATGCACGTCTTGTCAAGCTGAGCAGCTCATCTATRAGCACCTGAAGTCAGTGCAAGTCCTTACCTCGATGGCACTAGATAGTTATCCAGAAATAAGAGCTTCCTGGATTTTGTTTTTCTTAATTAGCTACTGCAATCGCTGGTATTTGGTACAAGCACACAGAATGGAGGATTTTGCTCTCTAGTGGTCTGCTGGAGGAAAACGACAGATGCCAAAACCATAAAGAGCCCCCGAATGGCTCTGCAGGGCTGACAACGGCCTCGGCGCCCTGCAGAGCGACTCGCAGCTGCCCGGCCRGCCCCGACCTTGCAGGGACCACCTCGGTCTCCATCTGCATCCTTGCCCTGGGGCAGCTGCTCCGGCTTCGCTGGGCCCTGTCTGCACCAGGACCAGCACTTTTACCCCTGTTTTAACTGCTGGCAAAATGTTAAAGAGTAGTTTAAGATGACACTGTTGTTCCTGGTACCAAAGTGTCTGTACAATATTTTCTTTGAGARTCCTTTACAACATGCTGTACCACTGGACTTACTGCAGAGTAATAAACTTCCCGCTCTTCTTCAGGCTCAGCTCATGAAATGTCTTCAGGCCTTTGTAAAAAGTCCTCCTTGAGAAAACAGTTTAAACACGAAGCCTAGCAGGTCGTACATCTCTGCTGAAGTTTGTGCCATCTAGCTGTGCAAACATGTCCCCCCCACGACTTTTTTTTTTTTTTTTTTTTTTTGGACCTAAGCAAAGACAACAAATTCTTTCATTCACAGCGCTGAACCCGGCTGAACCCGGCCCCAGGTGATGCTGCATTTGCAGCCCTCCATTGGTGGCTGCGAACGAGAGAGCTTCCCGTGTTTTCACTTCCTAAGCGCCGCACGCAGCCCTACAGCCCGTGCACCCATGCATAGCCATGCACCTATGYACAGCCATACACSCATGCACCTATGCACAGCCATACACSCATGTGCAGCTCTACGAACACCTGTAGGCAGCGCTTGGCCCCGGCCAGCGGGTCCCACGGCAGCAGCGGGTCCCGCCGGGCCGGCTGTGCAGGACCCGGGCTGTGCAGCCAGCACTGGGACGTGCAGGACAGGCGGCAAACRGTGACAGCAAACAGCCCATTTTTGCTCAGGGTATTTCTCTG